GTTCTGTTCTTTTTTTTTTTTTTTTTTGGTACGGGGATCAAACTCAGGACCTCATGCTTGTGAGGCAGGCGGTGGCACCACTGAACTAAATCCCCAGCCCCCATGCAGACATGCAGAATCCATAAACAATAAATGGTATTATCATGCTTGTTTTTAAGCCTCTATAAATAATATCAAACACATCTTCTTCTCTTCCTTATTGATAATTTCCTGCATTTAATAGCTACAGGAACCAAGATACGGAACAAACGTAATTGCTGAATGTACCCAGAATCTGTCTTGAAAAGAACTCATCTGGAATTGAGCTGAATCTGTCCCCAGATGCACCTGCCTAAGTGCCAGTGGACCTGGTAACAAATTCACATGGTACATCCACAGGCAGGAGTCACTAGTGCCCATAATCCCCAAGTCTTGCTCTACCATATGAAGGGCTTCTATGAGAGCATGGTAATTGAATATGGGTTTTGAAGGCACTATAATCATTTGTACATACAATTCACTATGCTAGGCTGACCTAGTGTGTTTTCCAAGGAATATTAATAGCCAGTAACAGAAACCAGATTTGACCAGTCTGTTTTCAGATTCCACGTCTGTGAAAGCAAACCACTGAGCAAATAAAGCCTGGATATTTTTATCCCTTCCATTTCAGAAGGTAAGTAGAAGAGTAAAGGAGATGAGAGTAAAAATATTAGCTGGTTTTAATAGTTCCTCCAAGAATTCGAAGACACTGGTCTCAGTATGATACATTAGAGTCAGATTTAGACCAGGACGATCCCCTAAGGAAGACAGCTGACATGATGATTATCGGTCTCTTCCCTGACACAGTCGAGCCTGCTGACACTTTACACCAGCCTAGTTCAGCAGCTGTTACAGAGGAGCAGATAGTTAGTGTTCTGGAGGGTTGTGAGGGACAGATTCTAAGTGCAGGGTGAGTACCTCAGAGTACACTGCTGATTAGGACTAACAAATGGCTTGTTCAGGGAAAAAGATGAAGACTCTAAAAATATCATGAGAGAGAAAAAATAAAGAACAGGCTTGGCTGGTATTTAGAATAATCTATAGACTGGGTCTGGAAGACTGATATCTAAGGAAAAAAAATCCATGCATACATACAAAAGTCACCTTTACTTTGCCCTGCACTCCTGCAGCAAGGACCTTGGTTATTACCACACCGCTTCCCACTGCTATTCTGCATGCTGACTCTCAGGAAAGGGCCTGAGAAAGAACAACAGTTATAGAGAGGGAGCAGGGTGAGATGCCAGGTCTTCGAGTGTTTCTAAAAAGTTTCAACTGATCAAAGTATAAAGTTTTAATGTGTTTATTAGCTAATAAGTTAACATGGTAATTGATTCTTTTACAGAGAATGGAAGACAAAGGATTTGGAATCATAAGAGCAAGTGTCCAGGAAACTTTAAAAAAAAAAATTCAAGCCAAGACAGTTTTTTCACGCACGATAGCTCAACCCAAAGGCTAAGGTGCGTCACTGTGAAGCTGAGATGGAGAGTTCCATATAGAGGTATAAAGAGGTCCAGCCAATGATAAACGGCCCAGCACCAAGGGCTGTGACAGCAATGACCACTCCATGCACTGCGAAAGCGATTCAGCAGTTTGTTAGGAAAAAAAGGAGCAAAGAGTCAGTGAACAAAGTGTGCTTAGAAGTCCGACCCACCTCTCAAGTTCACCAAGGTTAGGAATGCATTTACAACCCGTACTGGTTTCCTTACCTAAGTATGTCACTGGTAGTAATTTCAGGGATAAACTTTTGAAGGTACTTCACTGTTGCACCAAGAAAACAGGCTTTATATATTTCATTAACTCCATAGGAGAAATTCTGGAAAGCCAGTTTACTCAAGCCACTGAAAGCAAAGAAAACCATTTCTTTATCAGAGAAAGGACTTCCTAGTATAAAACACCTTTACAACTACTAGATATATATATTTTTTGGTGGTATCACAGAAATCTAGGCAAAATCAAAAGAAGTACATATTAAAAGAAAATCAACTTTTGGTCAATATAAGAAGGGAACTTCATGAACTGAAGAGGTCAACACTTTCCAAACTTAAATTCTCAGAGTACTGAGAGCCTTGTTGCTGAGTTGCTAGATTGCTTAAGCAGGGCTTGAACTTGTGATCATCCTGCCTCAGCCTCTCAGAGTACTGGGATTACTTTAACAGATCTTGAAATGAGGGTATTAAATAAGTGAACCATCTAGTTAGCCAGAGGCAAGATATTCTTTTATGTCAAATCTTCTGGTGGGAAACACTGCTAAAAGAACCGAACAAAATACTTCCTGATGTTATTTCTTACAATATTGAAGCATCTGCATCTTAGACTAACACAATGATACTGTTCGTTTTCCACAAAAGGCAATGCTTTGGCATCAGCAATTTCTCCTGTAACTTACAAAGTAATGGGACTAACTTGAAATGGTCCTACCAAAGTAAGCCAGTTACTGATTTTGAAAAAACCTTTTTTTTCCCCTTTTCAAATTCAACTGGAAAGTTAGTTTTGGATTGTGAGATACATGAATGGCTCTTGGTCTTACTTTCTTTTAACCAGGACATCACCCTGGCTCATCAGAATTTTCTTTAAGTAGTTAAAACATTATACTTAGAGCTGGAGGTATAGCTCAATGGAAAAGCTCACGTTTGGCATGCACAAGGCCCTGGGTTCAATCCCCAGCACCAAGAAAACATAAAAAAGTACTCTGCAACAATCTTAATTTAGGTTAAAAATAATATGTCAATCACGAACATGAAGAACTTCTCTCAGAAGGAGAATATCAAAATTTCCCACATTAAAAATAAATACATTTCTTTTTTTTTTTTTGAGATGGAGTCTCTGATTGCCCAAACTGGCCTCAAACTTTTGATCATCCTTCCTTGGACTCCCAAGAAGCTGGAATTACAGAAAGGTGCTGCTGCATCCAAAGTAAAATAACTTTTCAAAGGGAAGCTGTTACCTATTGATAATTACATCCATAGCATCTCTGGCACTGAAGTCAAAGGGTCTGTAACCTTCCCGTTTAAAAGCAAGTACTGCATTAGGCCCTAGCCAAACATTGCCATCCATCCTTGGCGTAAAGTGAACTCCTAGGAAAGGAAACCGGCTATCTGGGACCTACAGATTTAACACAGCAAAGAAGTATTAGCACCATTTCACAATCTACTTTATCACAGAAACAAACATCCAATTTGTAATAGAAAACACTTCCTCCTGTGCATTTCACGTGCACTTGAGCTATACTCAGATGATTTCCTATTAACATGCTTCTGCCCAGAAATGCCATCTAAGAACCCCGATGCAGTGACACTAATGCACACTACCCTATCTATTCATCCTTCTGGGTAAAGAAAAAAAAGGTGAACTCTCTACTTCAGTATCACCGCTCCTTTCTGCAACTAGGGATGTCCGTGACTGGCAAGTAAACTCAAGGCTGCAAGGGAAAAAGGCCACGCTCATTGCACAAGGTTTATGAAGTGGACTGGATGAGGTTGAATCAGATGACTGGTATTTTGGCAAGGTCGAAAACATCAAATAGTTGAATGATAGCTGAATCAATTTCACCCGGTTCAACCTAATGTATTAGAAGGGATTCGCTCATTTCCAGGGTAGTTTCAGACAGGAGAGTGACATTTTCATTTAAACTCCTGTCTTTAGCCCTTGGTCCTACAGAGTGGCCACATCCCTTTTCTGTGAACCAAGAGAGGGCTGGGTTTTTGGATTGGCTCCAGGGAAAGTTCCCCGTGGGTGCTTCCTCTGCCAGAGAGGAGGAAGAATCTGCTTCTCTCTTGCTAGCACTTCCCATAATGCTTTCTGGAGATGGGGACTTGGATACAATTAATTATAACTTAATGAGCAGGGTATTGGTACACAGATTTAGGGATTTAATCACATTAATAGCTCTCCAGCCCCCCACTGCCTTGGGCAGAACTAGGAAATGAACCCATGGCCTTGTATATGCCATTCTGCACAACATGTTACCACTAAGCTCTGAGTATATCTCTATTCCTTATTCTTTTATTTTGAGGCAAGATCTCGCTAAATTGTCTAGTCTAGCCTCAAAGTTTAGATCCTCCTGCCTCAGTCTCCCAAGTAGCTGGGAGTACAGGTGAGTGCCACAGGCCTCGCTCTTCTCTTACTTTGGATGTTTGCATTTCCTTTATGCCTATAGCCAGCTTGAGAGGATGAGAAACCAGAAACATCTTTACTTACTGGGTAAATATTTCCTTTTACAAGATAGCTTTTTTCAGGCTTCAAAAGCAGGTAATCCCCCCGGAATGGTACAATTCGAGGATCAGGACTGCAGCCACTCAACTCTGAAATACGGTCTGAGTAAAGTCCTGCACATGTCACAACATACTGACATCGAATTTCTTCTCTCTGGTGCAAAACAAAGAGCATGGTTAGCTGCCACATATAAGAGAGAACAGGTGATAGTTTCCTTTCTATGTGTGAAAGTTTAAAAAAAATTTACCTGAATGTACAATAATAATTCATAGAGGGTAATAAGTAGAAAGGTTGAATTTGATCAGTTCACACTGTTATATATGTGTGGAAATATCACACTGAACCCCATTAATATGTATAATTAATATATACTAATCCAAAATAAAATAATCATTTGTTAAAAAGCATGATTTGCATAGGTAGGAGTAGAAAAGTCAAGAGGGAAAAAAGGATGATAGAAGAGAAAATTGGAGTACAGAAACAAGACTGTTTCTGAAAAAAGGAAATTCAATGTAGTTATCAGCAAAGTAAGTTCTCCAGCATTTAGATGACAGCTAGAAATGCAGTAGGATATCACCTCAAATTCCCTACTTTAATTCAGAGATAATATGGCTTACCTACTAAGGATACTTAAGCTACATGTGCATGCATAGATACACGTGCTTATTCTACTAGGACCTAGCAATGAACTTCTTAACTATTGTTGCAGGAAGCAGCAAACTTTGTTTAGATGACCTCTGCCAATTTGGCCTCTTCTCAATTTCAGACAGTTTGTTCCATTTTCTCTGAGTAATAATCCTGTTAGGCGTGGTTTGTTTCACACTCAATAATCCTACTTGATTCCAACTGTAACCTACCCACCAACCAATTTCTCCTTCCTGCTCAATTCAGACTTTGCAAACTGAGGCTACTTTAGAAACTTCATTCACTCAATACACATTTACGGAGAGCACACACTACAGCCAAAGTATGCCTTAATGACAGAATACTAACCTCAGGCTGTTGTGATTTCCCACAAATTTTATTCTGTGATTATCTGCACATTTTTAGCTTCAATTCATCCTACCAGGCTTAGCCAATTTATCACCTTATTTCCTAAATGACTTCATTTACCCTTAATTCACTACTAGACACTAATTCTCATCTTTTCTTTAAGACAGGATCTCACTACATTGCTCAGACTGGCCTAGAACTTCTGGGCTCAAGCAGGCCTCTCAGTTCAGCTTCCAAAGTACCTGGGACTCCAGGTATATGCCATCACACCCAGCGCTACTTACAAAGAACTAGGAACTCCTTGCTCTTGGTGATTTTCTGTTCTTATTCACAGGCAACCTATTTCTAGAGCCTTGGAGTTCTCACCTGTGTCAGTTCTTTCTTTCCATCCCTCACAGACTTAGCCTGATTCTATTGGACAATATTTTCAATTCTATATGCATCCCATTTTTTCCTTGCCAGAAATGTAAGTCTCTAAGAGTTATATAAGTTACATTTTTTGAGAAAACTCATTAAATTTCTCTATAGTAAATTTGAGTTAGCTAGATTAAATCAAGATATTTGTAAGACCCTTGAAGTCAAGGACTACGTCAGAGGTAACAACAAAAAAGGCTTCCTTCTAAACAGGTTAATATCTTTCCTGTTCATCTATAGTTACATACCAGAAGTACAAGAAATACTTTAATGTGATACCTATCTACCAGTTCCTACTTAAGAGATCAGCAGTTCTTTTATTCTTGGAACATAAAATATAGATAAGCCTTATGATAAATTTATAAAACGATACCAGCATGCAATAGTTCTCTTAAAAAAACAAAAAACAAAAAACAAAACCTCAAATGACAGTTCCAAAGAAATGATTAACAATGGCCACAGGGCTCTGAAATCATTCTGTGTTTTACATGAAACAACCACTAAATTCAGTAACATTAATTCCCTTCCAAACTGAAATTTAGTCAATACTGAATGATATATTTGCTCAATTATAAATTTCTTTTAAAAACAAACTATCCATCTCTATTCGTCTTTCATAAATAAGACATTTCTCCATGTCTAGTGTATAAATCTTTAATCTGTAAATCTGCCCTCCAAAAGTTTATTTTTAAAATTCCCTTTGACTTCTCATAAACCACAAACATTCAATTTGGTAAGTGGATATGAAATTTGAATTTGAACCCCAAAACTATACTAAAGGAAAATGCCAAGACAAACAACTGTACTACAGTAACTGTGGGCAGAACACATGGCCACCGGTAGCCCGTGAGCCACTGCACATTATCACCCGATGCCACATTCAAGTGAAAATCTCCCGGGCCGGGACAGAAACATTGAATTTCTCTTTGAGTGGAGACCCTGGTTATTCTGCTACTTGGGCCACCTGATCTAGCAGGTCTGCTGGTAACCAAAGTGTTGGTAACAGGCCATGATATTTTACAAAGGCTTTAGCAGGCCCTTATAGGTAAATCACAGTACAGAACTTTAGAAATTGGAGGAAAAGATAACACCTTCCTCTGTGGATGATAATCTTCTTTTTGAGAAAGTGCTTCTGGCCTTGATTAAATATTTGACCACAGGTCACCAAGTTACCATGCAAATTACCTGTTATTAACTGGGTGTTGTCTAATTCACCAAGCCACAAAACTGGGTGTGGACAACAGCACTCCATCATCAAAAGGAAGTATAATACATAAGATCAAGGTTTTATAGGCCCTGCAGGCACATGTAAGTTACAAAGGCAGCAGTTCATGATGTCTACTTCTACAAAAGTACCTGTTCCTCTCAACTTGGGCCTACGGCTGCACAGAGAGTTCTCTGTGACCAGCTGGCCAAGGAAGAAGGAGCACGGACCTGGTTTACAAATGGTTCTGTACAACGTTCCAGCCCACTGGAAACGAACAGCTACAGCTCTAGACCCCCCTTAGTAAAGTCCTGAAATACTGTGGTTTAAGGGAAGTTTTCCCAGGAGGCAGACCTTTGAATGTCACAGCTGGTTTATCCTACCCAGGACAGATGGACAGAAATAATGGAAGACAGTGCTTCACATGCAGTACTGTAATTAATGGTTTGCCTGGTTGGCCAGGGAAAGAAGTTCTGAAGATATGTGAAAGGATCAATCTAAACAGGCTAGGAGGGTGAAGATATCTGAATTCAATGTGAATGCTCACTGAGCTACAGAAGATTTTAATAATCAGTAGACAAGACAACCTGCTCCATAGATGTAAAATGGCCTCCTCCCCCAGGGACCGCTGTCCTGGGGTTCTGTTTCAGGCACCTTGTTTGTGGTGCTTGGTTATGGAAACCTGAGAAAACTTAATATTCCCACCTCCTCCATTCTCCCATTACCTAACACAGGGTTTTCTCAACCTACTGACATTTGTGGCTGGATAGTTCTTAACTTGGGGGGCCTCTTCCTGGGCCTGTACCCATGAAATGCCAGTAGCCTTGCCCCTCCCTAGTTGTGACAACCAACAATGTCTCCAGACATTGCTGATGTCTCTTGGGGAGCAAGATCACTTCCATTTGAGAACTACCGACCTAGTCTAAGACGCTTAAATGGTGGTTGCCCTTCCACCTCAGTACACTCATACCTTGGTAGTCGATTGCTTCAAAACTTGTCAAATTTGGTAGTGATGCATTTTTACATAAAACTATTGACTCTGCACTTGTCATTTGTTTAGTATTCAATGAGCAAGCTAGAACTCTTCAGTGGTGATTCATACTTGCTACCTTTTCCAGCCAAAACCATCTGGTAATTGTCAACCTCATGCAACCAGTTAACAAGTCCCAAGGTACCACTGTATTTGAATTACAGGCTCTCAAAGGGGGTGCGTGACTCAATATAAATATCTCCCAAAGACAATGCAGTGAATCTTCTATCTTTATTTTTTTGGTTCTATGAGGCACAATGACACCTTTTAGATGCAAGTATAATTTTACTACTCTTTATTTGGAAGCTACATATAGTTATATGGGGCCTATATGGATGCTACATTGGTAGGCATAGATAGAAGAGTTTGTACTGTGCTGCTCTAGTTAGGCTAGGGGCTATGCTTGGACAGATTCCCCTTCTCTTTTATGTTTCCAAATTGACCTGCATATGACTTGGCAGGCAGAATTAAAGCAGCAGTCGTTATTTTCTGAATTTTGTCCTAGTCCAATGTGGTGGCAGACACCAACTGCCCAGCAAACCCAGCTCCATATCCAGCTCTTTGTCCCAGGTTGGAGAACCTCTGACTGAACAACTCGCTTTTGAACCTCTGCATCCCCAGCTCCTCTCATGAGTATGCACAGCCTAATTCCTCAAGTAAATCCTGCAACACGCAAAAGGAACTCCGCTCTCCTGATGGGTCCCAAAGACACAGGAAATCCAGTGCTCTCTGTCATTAAGTGGTTCTTGCTTTGATTATGTAAAGTTGAAGGAAAATAGGCCCCCTCCCTCTGCACAATCTGTGTGTCCTCCTACAATCCTTGAATTGCTAGAGAGTTGGCAGACTGATAAAATATGTTTTGTCTTAAAAATAACACTCCAGGTTCCGGTAGCATCCTATTCTTTGCCAGCACTGTCACTTCATGAAGACTTCCCAAGCTGAAACTTTTCTTAAAATGAAGGCTGTTAATCTGCTCTAAAAGAATTTCTCTTGGGATTACTTTTACATTATGCAAATTTCATTCAGTGACTTAAAATATTATAGACCTGTGGGTTAATTCAGCTTTTTTTAAAAGGAAGGCATGAAAGTGGGCAACAGTTTTGCTTAAGAATCTTTACCTTTGTATTCTTTATCACAATTGGATATTTCAGCCCTGAAAAAAAAATTAGTGAAAGATTTTTTTTTAGCAAAAGGTCACCATTATTTAACAAATTTAAATGACTAGTAACAATTTAACCATTAACAAATTTATTTTTTTGAGACAGGGTCTCACTATGTAGTGAGACTGACCTGAAACTCACTATGTAGCCCAGGCTGGTCTTGAGCTCACCATGATCCTCCTGCCTCAGCCTCCCGAGTGCTGGGATTACAGGCATGTGCCACCACTCCCGGCCCCATTAACAAATTAAATGACTTTCTTCTTTCATAATTGTATCCAATTTTTCATTCTAAACTGTTTTTTTTTTTTTTTACCATGTAACAAGATTAAACTAGTTCATATTTGACAATACATAAAACTGGTAAGTGTTTTAGCTTGTCTGAAGTCTGTGCTTACAAGTCATTCCCACTTTAGATCCAATACTGACAGTTCTAGCTTTTCACTGAGCGCTGCATAGTGGGCCATAATGGCCCAGTATGAATTTTCCCATAGAGATGAAGCTACAACATGAAAGGTTGTTAGGCAAATGTTGCTTACCAGATTCTTGCAGGGTATGGGCTGTTTAGAGAAGCAAGAAATACCATAACACAAAAAAATTTATAACATTAGTTCCCAGATACATGGGATCTTAAGGTCTTAAAAAGCTTATGGACAGAAAATTAGGAAAACGATCTACCTTCATCATGAATTTTATTTATTATACTACCTACCTACAACAATCTTATTTAACAATTTTGTTCATCATCCTAGTATTTTTTTTTAAAGTTATTTATTTTTTTGGTACCAGGGATCAAACTCAGGACCTTGTGTTTGTGAAGCAGGTGGTGGAACCACTGAGCTAAATCCCTGGCCCAATCCTAGTATTTTAAAGGACACTGGATGAATGACTCAGATGTCCTAGATGTCTTCAAAACCTCTCAAGGTAAAAAGAACTGAACACTACTTTTTACTCCTTTGAAATTTCTGGAAGCAAGCAGAGAGCTTACAAATTTTTCATTTGTTTAAAATAAAAACTAAATTTCCTCAAAACAAAACAAAACATACTCTAAGTACAATCTAAAATGAAGCCAAGTGTAGTGGCACATGCCTGTAATCCCCACATTCTGGGAGGCTGAGGCAAGAGAATTCAAGCCTTGCCTGGGCAACTTAGTGACCATGACTTTGTCTTAAGATAAAAACAAAAAGAGTTGGTAATATATCTCAGTGTGAAGGTGTGGGTTCCCTCCCCAGTACTGCAATTAAGTAAGTAAGTAAGTAAATAAATAAATAAAAGGTAGGGCCTTCAGAATGTCTGAGTCTTTTCTATGGCTGGGGGCTGTCTCTCATGGGCAGGGTGGGGAAGAGTTTAGGGACTAACTGTCCATACACGTCTTTGGCAGTTCTGATTTTAATACTAGTGCGTCTGACCCATTGGTGCCTTGTTCTTTCAGCACCAGACCCTCCTGGGAGTTCTGGTTCTCCTGTGTCCACTCTCATCCCCGTCCCTCCTGTACCCGCTCTGGCTCTGTACCCTCCTCCAGCCTAGCTCCCGGTGGCCCTCTGACCTCACCACCCCAAACAATAACATCCCCAAGTTTCACTCAAAGACAGTGCAGGTTTTCAATAGGAGAGACAAAGGTGGCTTACCATCTTTACTTCTGGGTGGGCTTTCTCTGGCCATTTCAATTTCTTTTACTTCAAAATTGGTCATAACAGAGCCACCTGCTTCTTGGAAATCATGGGCAAATGACAAAGCTATCTGCCGATAATCCACAATGCCAGTGTATGGACAATCAATAGCCATTAGACCCTGGGACAGAATTTTGAAAAAAAGCCAACAATGTAATCAATAGCCAACCAATGAGATTTCAAAATTTTATTTTTTGAGGGCTGGAGATTTAGCTCAGTGGTTCTGCCGCCTGTCTCTCAAGCTCAAGGTCCTGAGTTCAAACCCCGGTACCGCCCCCACAAATTTATTTTTAGCTGAATTTATTTATTTCTTTAGTTTGATAAATAACACACATTATTTTTGCTTGGCAAAAACTGAATCTTTTTTTTTTGAGACTGGAACTTGTGATATAGCCCAGGCCAACCTGGAAATTGCTATGTAGCCTAGGCTGCTCTCAAACTCAAGATCTTCCTGCTTCAGCCTCCCAAGCACTGAGATTACAGGCACATGCCACTATGCCTGCTGGACAGTCCTAAAGGAAAAAAAAACATAAAAACTTGCTCCATTAAATACCTAAACTTGATGATTACCACATGTATATAATATGTCTAACAGAAAATAAATAATGCTAGCTAATTTAAAAAAAAAAACTTATAATCAGAAAACAATTTCCCTCCTAGAGGAATTAATTTTGCTACCCTGGATCCCCACCAGCCCCTTCGGACAGGCCTCCTCTAGAAGGTCTTCCTTCTTTTCTTTCTCTGCCTAGCTTTGCTCTTCTGCAAAGTTGCCGCCCCCCTCTCCCCATGTATATATGCTGGGGAAACGTGAGGAGTCACTGCCAATGTACAACCTAGAGCCCTGGCCCAGGACTGGTGCAGGGCAGAGGTAGCCCAGTCCTGATGGGGCTGGAGTACAGGCAGGCTGTGACAGTCAGCTGGGAGGCGGGGTGGGTACTGCCAGGTCAGCAGGCCACAGATTGAAATCAAGAGGCCATGGTAGGTCAGGGGGCTGGAGAAGAACCAGGAGAGCAGGCCAGGGAAAGTTGAGAGCAGAGCTTGGTCAGGAGACAGGAACAAACAAGTGTGTGCTTGACCAATAAAGTTAAAAGAAAATGCAGACCGATGGGCAGAACTGAGGTCAGAGGTAAAAGTAGTTAAGATCTGCCCAGAGAGAGCTGGGAAGAGTTATCCTCTGAAGGCAAAGTTTACTGAAGCAGTTAAAAATTCTCCAGGATCCTTCCCTGGGGAGTACCTAGTCTCCATCTTCAGGGGACAGGTCCAAGAAGACCTTTAGAGCTTCCCTGATAAACTTCTTTTTTCTAGATCACTTAAGAGAATCAGAAGTAACCCTGTGCCTTAGAAATTCTGCCCAACATTCCTGGGAGTAGGGCTGAGGTTGGGAGAAAGGAAGGAATTTATTTAAGATATCTTTATGAAATAACCAAATTATATTTTCTACTATGCATTCCTATGCCTTAATGAGGACGAGTTGCCATTTTACACAGCACATCATTTCTGCAGAGGCCTCAGAAACCTCCTCTTTTATAAGTTACCAAGTCATAGTGCTTGGCACGCGGTAAACAAGAAACTTTTCTTTAAGGAGAAAAAAAAAAAAAGATCTGTTCTGAATCAGTTCTTGTAGCACTCTTCAGAAGCTCTGTGACCATGGGAAAATAACAACTAGTTTCTTCATTTGTGACACCGAAAAATAGTGTGTATGCACGCAGTATTATCATATATGCACACACATTCCATCTCCCATTCCAAGGACCTAGCAAGACCAAATGTTAGGGGCAAAGAAAAATATCCTGACCTAGCCTAAGTGCTTACCACATGGGGAAAGTTTTGTTTTGTTTAACAGTAAAACCTGATATAAAGAATCCTGTGTTCCAGTTCCTTTTTCTCTTTACAAGAATCTATAACAGACAACAATCAGATATGATCTTCTAAATCCATCAAATTTCAGTACTACTAGGAAACTGATAATCTTGTTTATTAAATTCTAAAATTAAGTCATTTTTACATCACAACCAAATGTATAGTGGAGTCAGCTCATATGTCCTTTTTTCCTTTTTGACACCAATGTTTAAATTTTAAAGAACTTTTCCTTAGCAAATAAGAAACTGTTAAAAACTGACATGCTTTTTTGAAGGTTATAAGCTGTTTTATTCTCAAAAGTAATACTTGATAGGAACATGTCAGTGATGTTCTAACATCTTCGTTTTACATTTAAATTCCACTGGAATCACATAAGCAATGAAACAGCAACAAGTTTAATGTACTTTCAAGAAGCACCTGTTCAATAAAATGTGAAGAAAGCCACTGTTTTGGACTGAGTTCCTGTACTTAGCCCTTCCATATCAAACCAAAATGCTGAAGTTCCATATCACCAGATTAAGTTGTTTATTTGACTTTCCAAGAAATCAGGAGAAACAGATAATAGCTAAATCTCCAAACTGGCCAGTTTGAGCCAGCACGCTAAGAAAGTTCCCTCTACTCTAACCCTATATGGAAAGTAATTTTGAAGCAAGCAATCTGCTTCTTGTTCCTTATTTCTGTTTTCCTAAGTCCCTATCTGCCTGTGGAGCCAAACACCTTTGCTCAGCTAACCAGGGCTTCTTTTCACTGGAGCTACAGTAATGAAGATGTTAGGGTAGCAGTCCAAGGGACGAGGGGAAAGGAAAGAGTCCAATCACAGCCACCTGACATCACAAAGGAATACAGCAATGCAGTGGGGAGTAAAGGTCTTTTGGTAAATGATGCTGGGTCAACTGGATATTTATCAGAGGAAATAAAATGTACCTTGACCTTCATATCATATGTGAAAATCAATTCCACATGGATTATAGATCTATAGTGAAAAGTAAAGCAAAAAAAAAAAAAAAAAAGAAAATTACATGGAATATCTTCCAGATCTTGCAATAGGCAAAGATTTCTCAAACAGAAAACAAAAAAGCACTAAACATAAAAGAGAAATATATGTGTGAATTGCTAAATTGACTATGTTAATATTTAGAACATCTGTTCACCTAAAGACACTATTAAAGTGAAAAGACAAGAGGCTAGGGATTTAGCTCAGTGGTTCGGTGGCCTGCCTTGCAAGCGCAAGGACCTGAGTTCCATCCCCAGTGCTAAAAAAAAAAAAAAAAGTGAAAAGACAAGTTACAGAAAGATATCTGTAATACATGTTTAGATATATCACAAACACACACATATATTTTGCAAAAAAATTTATCCAAATTACAGTATATAGTGAACCTCTAATATCAATAAGAATTAATAATTATAAGGAAACTAAGCCAAGTAGGAAAGTCAGCAAAAAAGTCAAACAGATATTTCACAAAAGAAATTACTCAAATGGTCGATATTAGCATGTGAATAGGAAAATAACTTTGAGCCACTGGCAAATGTACATTAAAAGCATAATATAACACTCGAGTTGAGCTACAGGAGGCTCAAGGGTTAAGGCTTTGCAAATATTTCAAAATCTGAAAAACTCTGAAATCCGAAGCACTTGTGATCTTGTCCATTTTATATGAGGGATACACAAACTGTATTAGAAACCCACCGGAATGGTTGAAATGAAAACAAACACTAAGTGGTAGTGAGGCTATGGAGCAACTGGAACTCTCTCCCACTAGTAATATCAACTGGAACACACACTCTGGAAATATACGCATAAATATATCACATAAATATATGCAACCTAGACAATTCTTGCCTACGTATCTACCTAACAGAATACAAACGCATTCTCTAAAACATGTGCTAGAAATGTCACAGAAGTACTATCTGGCATGGCTCCAAATTGAAAACGATCCTAATCCCCATCAATAGCAGAACAAATCATGCTACATTCACACAATGGACAGCAACAGATACACAGCAAGGACCACAAACTACAACTACATGTAACAGTATGGACAACTTTCATAATACTGAATAAAAAAACCATAGAAGGGCACATATCATATGATTCTACACACATAAATTCAACAGCCTATGCTGTAAGAAGGCAGGACTTTGGTTACTATTCAGGGTAACATACTCTTGGAGTGTATGAGGGGAGACTTTGAGGCTGGTAATCATTTCGGTTTTTATCACAATGCTTGTCACATTTTGTACAAATTCATGAAACTACAGTCTTACAATGTGTTATATGACATGGTTCCAAAAAATGAGGGTGCAAAGATGCAGAGGGAAGTTAGTGTATGAAAATACTAACTGGGGATTTATGTATAGGCCAGGCCGGGGATTTAGCTCAGTGGTTCCGCCACCTGCTTTGCAAGCGCAAGGTCCTGAGTTTGACACCTGGTACCGAAAAAAAAGTATGGGCCAGGGGTTTAACTCTGTGGCACCGTGCCTGCCTCACAAGCCCAAGGTCCCAAGTTTGATCTCTGGTACCGCAAAAAAGAAAAAAAATGTATACATACAGCCCTAAATATTTGGCAGGATGGGGCATAAATATGACTCTGAGCTTCCCCGTAGCCAATGCAGAGGACAATGCAATCAGTTAAATGATTTAGTGTCTATAAAAACAAAAATAAAAATAAGCAGACTGTGCTCAGGAGGAACAAGGCTATTCTCAGAAAAGCTGCAAGAAATTTCTCCTGAGAGTTCTCAGAGCGAGATGTTGTGTAACACAGCAAACAACATATATCCTCAACCACATCCGTACACTAGAAGCCACAGTGAATGACAAAGTGACCTTCCCCAAAGCCTGATGCCATAAAACCAAAGCACAATTCAAAGTGGCTAATGGGGCAGTATAGGATGTTGGGCAGGGAGTAGGGTGGGGAAGGCAAAACACTGCAATGTAGGGGGCTCCCACTGATGGTCTCAATAGATGGAGCAGAATAAGCGGTTTACACACCCACTGAGGTTCCTGCCTTGGCCTGCTGAGTGGCTGGGATTACAGGCATGTGTCTCTGGCGCTGAGGAAATTATGCTCTTGTTAAGCATTGCCTGGTGGTGAGTTCAGGATCACACTGCCTTTGCTCTGGTTTCTTTTTTTTTGAGACAGGACTTCATGAGGTAGTTCAGGCTGGCATTAAACTTACTATGTAGCCCAGGCTGGCTTTTAATCTTCCTGTCTCAGCCTCCCAAGTGCTGGGATTACATGTGTGTGCCACTACACCCAGCAAGGTCATGCTTTCTAAAGACAAGTATCTCTTGTATACAGTTAGTAAAATAATGGAAGAAAGAAAACAGAAAATATAATCATTTATTAGAACAGTCATTGGAATGGTCACTGAATAGTTACCAATGAAAGCTAACACGCAGAGTAACTTAGTGACCTCACTTAGTGACAAAGTTATGCTCCTGCCACCAGGTCATTAGTGGAATCAGTCTTTAAATGAGGAATTGCATATAATATGTAGATTACTATATACAGAACAAAGAAATGGTCAAAGGAAACTCCAACTTGATGACTGCGTTTACTTGCATAATTCTTCCATGCAGCACTGTAATATGTAACAGAATGTGAAAGTACAGTACTGTATGGTACAGTCAGCAAACATTACAGTACTGAATAAACAAGGTGTACAGTACAAAAGAGACAGTGAAGCTCTAGAAACGAGGTACAGAATTGTTCAACTAAGAAAATGATGGGTGGTAACTCCAAGCAACGGGTTCTAAGTCTGAACAGCCTGCCTCGGTTTTAAGTCCAAACAGCTGTTAAACAGGTAGATCATTAAACAAGGAAGATCTGGATTATATTATTATTCAGGTTTCCTTCAAAGAATAAAGGTGTTTTTCCCCATTGTATACTTTAAGCCAGATACTCTACAATTCAGCCTTCTCATCCACACCAGGCACTTTTCTAAAATACAGAGCTGTCCTCCTCCAAAATTTTCAGCTGGACCTCATGCCTACTGGAAAAACTTCAAAGTGACTGGCATGAACACCAGTTCCTTTACACAGGCCCAATCCTGCCTCTCCAGTCCAACCTCTTATCTCTCCCTCCACACCCTACGTCCCAGCCACACCTCCCTGTTCAGGGTTTTCCAAACAGGACATACTGACATTTTCTATGTTGGTCGGGGTCCTATTTTCTCAAAGGGAAACAAAAAATCACAGCTCAGAGTTTTGTGGCAGTGCCCTCTGGTGACTGTCATCTCACTGCTTCTGTGACAAGATGCAAAAGGACTGAGCCCTTAATGAAAATACTCTCTGGCCACATGCGTGAGGCTGGTGAAACACTTACCCTACAATATGGCTCCTTCTTTTTTATTTCCTCCTGCTGGATCAGTCTCAAGCTCTGGACGCCATTCTGCAGGCCCCTCTCATATAAAGCCTGAAGTCTGGGAATTTCTTCTTGTTCAACAGCTACTATTAGCTTTTAAAAAATGATAAAGATCATGGATGGAGTTTAATATATTATCAGCTGGGAAAGATATAAAGTCAATAGAAAACCATAAATTATTACATGACTCAAACAGGGGTGATTTAAATATTTTTAAAACTTGTGTATCTATTTCCCCCTTCCTTCATGCTTTTATTTTCTTCTTTCACCAAGAAAAGTTGACTTAAGAAAGTAGCATTAAAACAAATTTTCCCCGAAGGTGAGATGAAACCTCGATCTCCACTTGTGTTATCTACAGTCTCTGCACACATCCTGGACATGAGAAACCCTTATCATTACATTTCCTCAATCCCAGGGACAAGAGAAATATGGGTTGCTCAGCCTTTGCATTTCTCAAAATAAATGGCCTTCTTATTTGTATAAGGAAATGTGCAATACCAATACCATACCAAGACTGCTGGTACTTAGTGTGATGGGGTATTACTGATGAAACTGTCCTTTTTATTTTCTGATGTAAATTATAAAGCACTTACAAATGAATTCTACTGCACAGGAAAAAAGATAGTAAATTCATGAACTTTCCTCAAATCATATTTTCTATGTATTTCTGAAATTGAGTGTCTTCTCTAACAGTTACAAATCACTATTCCATACCAAGAAGTCAACAAAATTTCATGAGGTATAAAACTTTTAGTAAAAAGGTTTGAAGGCTACTGATATCAACAAACTTAAAAACAGAAGAGGAATCAAGAGACACAATCAAGATAACAAATAAATAGGGCCAGGGATTTAGTTCAGTGGTGTCATGCCTGCCTGGTAAGTGCAAGGTCCTGAATTCGATCCTTGGTAGGAAAAAAAAAAAAAAAAAAAA